GCCACCACAAAGCAAGATGCACAGCGTCCATGACAGATGACACTTACGTAAAAAAAATTTTTCTTTTAAGTTTCAACAAGCTAATAGATAATCTATAAGAGAACCTAGGGCCAGCCCCATTTTTAAAAATGGAAACACAAGGCTGAGAAACCTGGGGTGTCTGTCTCCCCACTACCATTTTGCATGGTAGCTGCTGCATCCCCTACTTGTCTCCTTTCTCTGCTCTTCCCCTCCCTGCCCCCTCCTTTTCCCTCTCGCGCTCGCTCTCGCGCCTTGCCCCTCCCACTTGTCTTCCTGCGTCCCTCAGCACGTGACGCAAAAAGGGACGCGCACGCCATCGTTCGCGCGCCCCGACGCCACGAAACACCGAGCTCCTGCTCGGCGTTGTGCCCCGCCCCCTCCACGGAGGCCCCGCCTCCATAGTGTGACGCATGCGCAGCCTCCGCTTCCTCTTACTGGCGTAGTTCCGCGTCTCGATGCTAGCGGCTCCCAGGTGCCACTTCCCGCCTGAGTCACGTGTCGGGGAGGAAGCGGGAAGGCGTCGTTCTCTTTTACTAGCGCCCCTATCCGCCATGTTTTCAGGCCGGGTCTGACTTGGTCTTCCCCTTGAGGAAATGGCCGGGGAGGTGCAGGGAGCCCAGGCGCCGTTCATTCGACGGCGCCTGGGCTGACGAGTCGGAGTGGCGGGGACCCCGAGCAGTTCTTCAGCCATGGCGTCCAGCAGTAACTGGCTGTCCGGTGTGAATGTCGTGCTGGTGATGGCTTACGGGAGCCTGGTGAGATTCCCCACCCCCGTTCCTGCCCTCGCAGGTGACCCAGTCTAGACCCTCTTTAGCCGTTTCCGGTCTTCATTCTCCACCCACTCACCTGTGCTTTTTCTGGGCTTTTTGACGCCTATTCCAGGAATACCTGGGAGCGCAGTTACAGACCCAGACAGCCCGGCCCCCGCCGAGAACCCTCCCTCTAATCCCCGGGACACAGACCCACCTCTCCCCGCTCCTGACTTCCCGAGATCCAGCCCCATCTTTTACTGCCTTGCTCTGTCCGAAGTTTTACCCCATGCTTCCATCCCTCCGAGCCCGAGTCCGGGAATTTTGAATGAAGTCATGGTTTTTCATAAAACTTTTAAAATTAAAAGTTCTTATATCTCTTCGGACAGGTATTTGTACTGCTGTTTATTTTTGTGAAGAGGCAAATCATGCGCTTTGCAATGAAATCTAGAAGGGGACCTCATGTCCCTGTGGGACACAACGCCCCCAAGGTAGGTCCTTAGGGCGTGAGATAAACCTTGGTTCTCCAGATCTTTTAGGCAGAACAATGTGATTCCCTTCGCCTTGTAGGGGTGACACTAGCTCACTTGTTTGTCTAGTCACCCTCCGACTTCCCTCAGTAAGTTAAGCAGCAGTTGTCAGCCTTGGGACTTGGCTTACCTGCACAGGCTGTAGTTTACCCAAAATCTTAATTTTTTCAATTGCTGAATGAGCGATTTGGAGTGATGTTACCAACTCTGCTGTAAAATATTTCCCAATCCAAGAAAGTGTGCAGATGGGAAAGGGGAACAAGGGAGGAGAAAGGAAGGGACAAGAAAAATGAGAATAAAAGGAAGAAATGGAAACAAAGCTTTTTTTACAGTCCCGTCCCCCGCCCCCGGTACTGGGGATTGAACCCAGGACCTTGCAGTCACCAGGCAGGTGTAGTACCACTGAGCTACATCCCCAGCCCTGGAAACAAAGCTTTTGTACATAGTTTGGAAGGGAGCTTGGGGGGTGGGAAAATTTATTAAAAATATTTCCCAATCCATCTTAAATCATTCAGTGTTTGTTTATTTATTTATTTATTTATTTTGGTACCGAGGATTGCACCAGGGTCCTACACTTGCAAGTCAGGCCACCGAACTGCTAAGCTAAATCCTGGCCCTAGTGTTTTTTATTTTAGAATGAGGCTTGAAATGATTACAGTTAACCCAAGAGCAATAAGGAAGTGTTGTGTTTGAAAAATTCGGACTCATTTAAAAGCCCCATTAGTAGGCCTTTAAAAAGGAAACACTTTACTGGAAGACAAATAAAAGTGAATAAGCTAATCTCTTCACCTTTGATTATCTTCTCTTCTTAGGCAGTTAACTTCCTTTGCTTGGTTTTCATTGCCTACAGACAAAATTCTATTGCAAGCCTTTTTCCTGCATTCTATGCTTACATATCTAACTGCCTAATAGACATTTCCACTTAGTTTCTACTGCCACCCCATCCTGCTGCTTCATTTTTCAGTCTTCAACTTATCTGAAAGCACCTGCTGCCTTTACCAACTTTTCTGTGGTGTGGGTTTCACCCAGTCTCTCAGAACCAGCTTCACTGGTTGAATTTCACACCTTTGCACATGTTGTTCCTCTGCCTTGGTGGGGTTTTCACTTGGCTAGCTTATTCACTCTAGCTATTTGCTTAAAGGGTACTTTCTCCAAAAGGAATGCTATTTCTATTTCTTTTTTTTTTTTTTTTTTTTTTTTTTT